ACATGAAAACACAATATATCCGTATTTGTGGGATGCAGCTAAAACAGTCTATAGAAGGAAATTTATAGATTTAAATGACTATCTTAGGAAATAAGAAAGGTATAAAATCAAGCCCACATTTTAAGGAAATAATAAATTAAACCGTAAGTATATGGTACAGAGGAAATTATAAAAATAAGAGCAGAAATCAATAAAATAGAAAATTTAAACAATCCTGTATAAGGAAATCAAACAATAATACTATCATACCCAAACTCTTTCATAAAACAGAGGGAGTGGGAAAACTTCCAGCTCTTATCATGAGACAATTTTAAGCCTGATAGTAAGATCAAACAAGGACAATATAAGGAAAGAAAATTATAGCCAGTATATCTTATGAACATAGATTTTTAAAAAATTGAACAAAATATCGTCGAATGAAATCCGGCATTACATAAAAGGATTATATACCATGATTAAGTTGGACTTATCCCAAGAATGGGAGGTTCGCTTAACATAAGAAAATCAGTCAACGTATTTCACTACATTCATAGGTCATGAGAGAAAACTCATGTCCATAGGAGAAAAACAGAGACAGAACCTCAACCCCTACTTCACATCATCTGACAGTTTTCACATCTGACAAAAATTGATACCCAAATTATATTAAAAATGCCTGCAACTCAAGAATAAAAAGAGAAACAAGAATAATTTTTACCTTGAAACCCAGTTATACCACTGTTAGATATTTGTCCAAGAGATATAAAACACTAATATGCACAAAAAGTCTTTTACAACAATATTTATGGCAGCTTTATTAATAAATACAGTTATTGTTTCTGGCTAGTAACTAAAAGCAATCATGTCTTTCAATAAGAAAATGGATAAAGGAGCTATAATATATTCATTCCTTTGAATACCAAGCAGTACAGAGAAATAAACTACTGATCCATACAACCACCTGAATTAATCTCAAAAGCTATGATGCTGAGTGAAAAAGGTGGGCACCATAATTAAATATTGTGGGATTCCATTGATGTGATATTCTAAAATAGTTAAAACAAATCTGTGGTGACAGAAATCAGATCACTATATAGAGAGACAGAGTGGCAGTAGGATAATGGCTGGGAGGGGCACAAAGGAATCTCCTGGGATGGCAGAGTTGTTCCTTGCCTTGATATGCATTCTTCAAAATTGATTGAAAGATACACTTAAGATCTGAGCATTTCAATGAATATAAATTTTTAACAAAATAAATGGCATTGAATAACTGAACATTATATTTCACCATGTTTTCACAAATATAATAACACGGGTTAGGATATTATAAGAGGCCCAGGAGGCAGTCTAGTGGGTCAGGAAGAGAATGGGATCCAGCTGGCACATCCGATGTGAAGACCCATATGGGGCCAGAACAAGGTGGTGATAAAGGAACTTCGGTAACCTCCAGATGAAACCACCGGGGCAAGGAGATTTGAGAGAGAAGTAATTTGATTATCTCTTTTTTTTTCTTTTTTTATTTTATTATGTTATGTTAATCACCATCCACTACATCATTAGTTTTTGATGTAGTGTTCCATGATTCATTGTTTGCGTATAACACCCAGTGCTCCATGCAGTACGTGCCCTCTTTAATACCCATCACCAGGCTAACCCATCCCCCCACCCCACGCCCTCTAGAACCCTCAGTTTGTTTCTCAGAGTCCATCGTCTCTCATGGTTCGTCTCCCCCTCCGATTCCCCCCCTTCATTTTGATTATCTCTTAATAAGTCCCCAATCCAGAATCTTAAAGGATTAAATCAGTTCTAAGGGCAGCTCATTTGATAAAATATGCTTTCAGGAACTCTGCCTCCTTTACCCCTCAAATTTCCCTCAGTCACTTGCTGAAATCTAAGTTTCTATAGAATAAAGGGAAATAATTACTTTACTTCACAAAATAAAAGGATTAAAATGCAAATGCATAATTGAAATAGTACTTTAGGACACATGAATTTTACTCCTGTGTAATCAGTGGGTGAACGCAAATGATTAAGAACTGGCCCTTCTCATTTCTGATAACATAGAAAGCACAGGAAGAAGAAACAGTCCAATTCAATACACATTGCTGAGCATCTACCGTGTGCTAAATCAGTGGTTTCCAAGCTTTTATGACTGTGACCTTTAGTAAGAAATGAAATTTATATCGAAGTTCTGTGTAGCTGTACATATGGATAACTAAAACAGTGTTATAAAATAAAACCTATACTTTCTAAATGAGATGCACTCAGTGTTTTCTATTCTAGTATATTCTGTTTCATGTTTACAAAAACTCTGGTAAGTGACCCACCAACTCTGTTTCATTACCCACTAATAAATTGTGAATGGTGGTTTGAAAAACACAGTGCTATCCTTGCTCCCCAGCATGTGGTCTGTGGACCTGCAACAACAGTAGGTGGGGGCTTGCAAGAAAAGGGCTCAGGCCACACCTCCCACCTGCTGAATCAGAATCTGCATTTTAACCAAACCTCCAGGTGCTCCCGGTGCATGGCGACCTGTCACAAGTCCTGTGCTAAACAATGCGTGGAGAGAATGCTTGGGACAGACAGAGTCTTGTTGGTATTATTTAGGGCTGAGATTCTGACACAGGGATGGTTCGTCTTTTAGAACACTCATTTCCAAGCATCAAGGTTACAATTCAGTACCTCCAAGGATATCCCAGGGCAGTTATGCTAAAAATGATAAATAAATGAACAAACAAAATTTACCAGAGCTTCTGAGCCCCATTAAGAACCACTGGTCGACTTGGTTAAATGAAAACTATGTACTGATTTGTTTATTACAAAGGGGCAAGCCTGTGCTTCAGGGAATATGGAAAGATTTTATTTTAGTTTTCACTGTGGATGACTTCATATAATGTCATTTTATTCCCAGAATATTTATTGATGGAGGCATTGCTACTGCTACTTCTGAATTTGCCGCTTCATCCATATGGAAGAATTTGCAAACATCTTGATTCTACCGATAACTGTCCATTTATAGAAATGTAATATGATTTCCAGTAGAAATATTATTAGTTGTGCTAAGTTAGCACAACTCATTCCCTAGGTTACTTCCAGTAGATCCCTAACCAAGGATCTCTACTGCAAAAGAAAATGGGGCTGCCCCTAAGTGACTATAACTGCTCATTAAGGACCTTCCCGTTGCGTTAGTATGTTTCCTGAGTGGTGGGAAGTTTCAGCCTGGAAGCTGCTAATCTTGCTAACACTAAAAGGCTCTCTCCCATTAGCAGCTTCTGTGTTGCATTAATAATAAGAAAGTAATAAAGAGACGGCCGCTGTTCAGTCTCTCCTGAGGAGAGGCCGCAGCTTCCTTCTTCTCCCCATGGTCCGCTCTAATGGTCTTGCCTGTTTGAAAGTAATAGAGTGGATAATAAGTGCTGTCTATTCTGTCAAAGTCTAAAATTCTTCTTTCTGGGGAGGAATACCTTTTCTTAAGACTTCCAAATGTAAACTATACCATCCATATTTTGCAATTGAAGTTGATCTGCTTAATTCGTAACTTTTTTGACATGTAATTGCAAACCATCAGGTACGGGGGTGGGTAAGTTGCTTTAGAAAAAATAAATATTTCTACCTTTCCTGGAAAAACTATAAAACACAGAACTTCCTTAGATGGCTTCCTGTCTTTTTTTGGGGGGGGGTGCTGTAAATTAAATCCCTTACCTGCACAGAAGTAAATTAAAGAAAATCAAGGAATTAAGACCTCTGCTTTTATAAATATTAAAAACTCTCTTGCTAATAGACAAAGAAGAAATGAGGAAAATATCATATTAAAACAAAGTAAGTCAGACTGGATTTGTTAGTTTCAGGGTGCATGTTAATATATGTGTCTTTGTTAAAGATGTTATCTTATTAGGTCTCATAAAGAAGATTGGAGCCAATGCCATACTTAATAGCTTATGTTCTTTTTCTATTGAAAATATCTAACCTTTGGCAGAAGTACACTTTTTTATTTTTATTTTTATTTTTTTAGAAGTACACTTTTTTAAAGATTCTCTTGATTTAACATCCGTTTTTAAGTATACTGTCTGTCCATAGAATAAAATTATCTATATAGTAGTTGTGTTGTTGCAATTTTTCATCTATAACCAAAACTATTTTTGCTTTCAACTACATATTTTTTAATTGGGTAAGTAGTAATCCATCATCTCAAAAGTGCTGCTCAAATTTTTATTCCTTGGAGTCAACATATTTGAGTCCAACTTACACTATTGTGTCCTGATTTTGAAAGGTTACTTTTATAATTAAGTTATATATTGCATATTTCTGTACTTGTAATTTATAGGAGAAAAAAAGATTAATATCAGTAATCATCATCAGTGAGAATATATATTTTTAAAATGAAATATATAGTTCATAACCCTCCTAGAGGAAATCACTATGACAGGCTCTGTGCAATATTTATATAAAATTCAAGAAATTACTGTATAAACCAACTGAAAGCAGTTTTCTAAAAACTTATAATCAATATATTTTCCTTCTAAGTATGTAACATCTTGAGAAAAAAAAGACATATCTAATGTCAAGACTGCCCATCTAAATATTTTTAATTATGTATAAAAGCCTTTAAATGAAAAAAAATCTATAATTTAGGAAAGTGAAAATGCTAAGTATTCTTTATAAAATAAACACTAGATATTTCCTCCAGGCAAGTAACAATCTAAATCCCTTTTAATTAATAACTCTTTCATATGGTCAAATTATTAGCCAAGGTTTTGATAAATCCAGTAAACCCTCTTGTTTGTTGTTTCCTTTTGCTTGTAAAAAGTGAAACGTTTACTACATATCAATGGGTGGCATATTATTGCTAGTGTTTTCCTTAAATTTAGGGAAGAAAGGAAGTGAGTAAGACATTCTTTGAAGCCCCAAAAAGCAAACAGGTCTATTGGAAAAGTAACAGCTTTGATATAGAATAGTCTTAGAGTGTTGGTATTAAGCATATTTATCTGAATTATTTTTGTTTACTTTCTTCTGTTCTCTAGTTCATGAAGGCTCAGGAGAAACCAGTCAAAAGGAGACTTCAACCTGTGATATTTGCCAATTTGGTGCAGAATGTGATGAAGATGCTGAGGATGTCTGGTAACGTGTTCTTTTTATTCTTTAAACAAATTATAACAATAATTAATTTCTTTTTACTCCATCAACCATTTCCTAAAAGACATTTTCAGCATTTTTTCTTATCCAGTTCTGAAGGGGGGAAAATGAGGGCTATAATAACAGCAAGGAATTTCTGAAGCTGAATTAAGAGCTGAACTAGCCCGGCAGCTGTTAAGAGCACTACTTGATAAGATATATTTAAAATACCACTTAGACCCCCAAACACTGTCAATGTTAAGAGATGGAAAGAAAAATCATATTTATCAGAACATCCCTCAAGAACCATGGTCAATCAACAACGGATAGTTGCTAATCTGCTTTCTAAGATGGTGGATCTAGGTAACTGCAGAGAATTTATTTAAGGGTATATGCATATGCACACCCATAGCTGAATTGGGAAAGCAGTAAAGCAAAGAATGACTTCTGGGCTACTCTCTAGGATCAACTTCTCCCTTCATCTGAGTAATACTCAGCTTCTTCTGAAAAGACAGGCTAAACAAATAATGAATAACATTCATTATTTTGCATGAGTCCCAAAATGTTAGTCTTCTAGGGCCTCCACATGTACTGGTCCTGCCCTAATCATACCCAAAGGGAGCAACTCAAAATTCAGAGTGAGGTCTTTGTGGCATGATAGTGGAAAGAGGCAGAGTTCTCCCTGGTTTACACACCTCACTTTTACACAGATATCTTTCAGAAAAACAGCCAAGTGCCCTTTGTTTTCTTCATTATCCAGACTATGTTTGTCTAGAGGAGATTATGATCATTTTGATCAAGTTGGCTAAGAGATTAAATCTTCTCACCACAAAAAAAGAAATAGTAATTATGTGACATGATGGAGGTGTTAGTTAACACTATGGTGGTAATCATATTGCAATATATAAGCATATCAAATCAACACGATGTACTCCTCTAATTTATACAATGTTATATGTCAATTATATCTCAATAGAGTTGGAGGAAAAAAACAATAATTTTGATCAAACTTTTGTGGGTGGAGGGAACAATTCATCTAAGGGACAAAAAGAAAAAACTAAAGGCAAGATAATTTTGGCAAGAGTGAAACAGTCTGCACTTAAAATATTTTAAGGATTTTTAGGATTCCAAGGGAGCAACTGGAGTTCTTAGGGTAAATTAATCAGGTACTTGTAGGTAAACACTATACCCCAGTGAAATAGACACCCATTAATAAAGGCAAACATCAGTAGAGTTTTTGTACCTGTCAAACATTTCTCACCAATGGGTAGCTAGCAGCCAGCGGGAGTTTACGTACTGATTTGACTGTCCTGAGGTGAATAAATGTATATTTTCTTAAGAACATCTTGAGCATCTTAATGGCTAATGAATATATGGTTCCCAAACCTAGCTGACCATCAGAATTACTTTGAAATTTTTTAAGCACACTAATTCTTTAGTTCCACCCCAAAATTAATGAATCAGAATTTCAGAGAAGTAGAACTTAAAATTTTACTTATCTAAAACTTCCCAAAAGACTATGAAACACTTCTCTAAAATAAATGACTGACTCAGAGAATCTTTGCTCCCTAAATGCTTTAGGGCTCTATATACTCATAGTCATTATATATTAAGACACAAAGACAGGAAATGTATCCTTTAAATATCCCATTTTTAATGTTTGCTGGTGAACACATCTGTAGTTCAACATCATTTTTAAAGCTGTTAAGTATCTTGCTGTCAATTATTTTACTTTTAAAAAAAATTCACATGGGTTCCTAATTTTTTCTTAAGATTTTCCATTCCCCTAAGTTCTCATCTCTTCAGTGATCATCTTTAGGTAACAAAGTTCACTTTGCAAATGCAAAGATTTAAGAAATGTGATAAATAACAGCTAAAAACTACTAGTTGCTTACTATGGGTTTTGGTCCATCTGTATAGTTTTTCAATTCTCAGTTACCTTCAAAATAACCCTAGGGGTAGAGTCCACCATTATTTCACTTTGCAAAGAGGAAACAGTTTTGAGGGTTTAAGTGGTAAGGCCACAGTGAAAATATGAGATGTTAGCATTAATAATTCAACCAAAGATGCAAATTAAAATCATATTTCTTTCCTGCCATGTCGGGAATAATAAGATAGCCAGATTGCAGGCAGCTTAGATGTAGTGACTCAAGACCTGCAGGGTTAGAGCTGGTGACAAGGAAGATGCCTGCAACAGGCAATGAGAAAATGTCCAGGTAGGCAGTGTCACTCCTGGTATTCTAGCAAAAGTTCAGATCTATGGTCTGAGGGCAGGTAGAATGAGAAGATATGGACAAGGGTGGTGGCATCAGAAAGATTCAACAGTAAGTCATAGGTCCCAGTCTTCAGAAAAAGAAACTCAGTTACAAAGGGAACAAGGAGAAGGGCAAAGCAGAACTTCAATTGCCAAGGAACTGGTTATCAATCAGGAAAACAGAGGCAGATACGGGCAAGACTGGATAGATACCCATTTGCCAGAACTGGTATAGAAAGCCAAGCCTTGGTTACAAGGGGCTGAGACAAGCATCTAGATCTCAGAAATAAATTACAAGGTCAGAATGAAACCAGCAGCAAGGCTGACTGGATGCTGAATCAGTTAGCTTTTGGCTAGGACATCTTGTACGCCCCCAGCCTAGAGACAAGATTAGTTCCAAAATGCGGAATAAAGCTGAACCTCCAGATGGGGCTAAGTGGCTATAGCTGTGAAGATTAGAGGGATGCAGGGGGCAGGGAGCCAAGAAGATCATTATACTTCCCAGGCAAGAATGAAAAGTTGTTAACATTTAAATAAAATGTACTTAAAATGTCCAATGTAAGCAAGAAGGAATGGTGCTGAAAATGGTAAGTGTATTGATTTTCATTTACATAAATACCTTTGTATGTTAACATATTGTATTTAGTTATGACCATGAAGGGCAGATTGGAACAGCTGAAGGACACAAGAATAAAACAGTAAATGAAACTAAATAGGCATGGAATAAAAGAGGCTATAAAGTACAATAGGAAGCAGTTGGGGAGTGATCTGACTCTAGTACTAGTCAACTGAAGCAGAGGAGCGTTGACGTGCTGTTGATTTTGGATGAAACCATGACCAGGTCCTCTCCCAAACATAAAACACTGCATATGCTGTGTGGCAACAAAGAGTAAAACTCAGTCTTCAATTTTATTTTTTCCTTTGATACTAACTAAACTATAATTTTATGCATACAAATAGCCTCAGTCCTGCATTATGAAGCAACAAGATATGAAACACTACTCTTATGTTGTTATTGTATCGGCAATACTAAAACAAAGATGAAAAATTAATTCCTGATCTTTCTTTAACCCTGACCAAAGAAATTAATATTTTACATTTCACCACAAAGAAAAATAAGTCTAATTATTCAAAAATGCTTAGGTACTTTCTGGATGAGGTTAAATCTTTGTCAGAATTAAAAAGCCAGTTTTGATCGACTACAATCAATCATCATCAGTTGATCTTCTTTTCATCGATGAGTTTTTGAGTTACACAAGTCACAGTGGACATGGAGAAAGATGATAGATAGATAGATAGATAGATAGAGAGATAGATAGATAGATAGATAGATAGATAGATAGATAGATAGATAGATGATAGATGATAGATGATAGATAATAGATAGATAGATGGTAGAGGGGTAAGGAAAATGGAGGAAAGAAGGAAAAAATAACAATTAGAGGATGGCATTGATAAACCATGATCCTAAACACATTACATTTTAATACCTTTGAGAGAATAGATGGTTTATAAGCTCATATAAGCCCCTCACTTATAGTCTCTGATTTCATTTCAAGGTTTTTCTCTTCCCTTTTTCTTCTTATGGAGCACATCAAGGTTGTAGAAATCAGAAGATGGTCAGGTTTACTCAATAGCAAAAAAACACCATTGCTTCAGAAGATGCTTCAGTTATATTTATTGACCTAGGTGTAGGAAAGAATTAAGCTTCCAAAAGAGAGAATTAAAAGTCTACATGAGAAGTGGCTCACAACACAGATATATCCACTCTCATATGGAGGCATCCCTTTATTTAAGATGAGCTTCAAACAAATAGAACACCTGTGCAAAGAGATGTGAAAGCTTATTTATAGGGAAGGGGTTAAGAGGGGAAGGAAAGAAGGGCTTAAAAAATTGTGTCTCTTGATATCTAGACTGAAAAAATTCAAAACTAATATGTTTATACATCAAAGAGACTCAAATATATCCTGCCAAATATAATTTATAAAGAAAAAGAATGGTTTATAAATAAGTCAAACATAATAAAAGTGACTCATTGCAAAGTAATAAAGCCCCATCTGATAGCACTGGGAATACCAACTTATGATTTCAACAAATACTTCTGATACTTGGTTAGTTTTAGAAACAGCTTATTATTCCCTTAATTATCGTACCTGATAAATTATTTCAGTAAGTCCAAAGTAGGTCAGTGGTAACTCTCTTTGCACTGGAAGCTACTCCTAAGAAGTAATTAGCCCAGAACTTTCTGTTGGTCCTGTCAGTCAGAAATAGTTCAGAGCCCCGGGGTTGATACTTGATTTAATATAAGAAAAAAGCAAGCTGATAGCTAGGTCTGATTGTAGGAATGACTGGGTCAGAAATTGGCTGCATGCCTAACATTTCCAGGGTGTCAGGATAGATCAAGGAAGGAGCACAGGTGTAAAAGCAGATGTGGCTCATGACAAATGATATAAAGGGACAATTTAAATTATGTGTATTTGCTTCATATGTATGCTTGACAGCTCCTATTCCCATTTTAACTTTGCTTTTGTATCATTCTCTACATGCTACTCAGGCTCCATTAGCAAAATCATATTGGCTAAAATGCTATTAATTCCTCAGTAGTCATTCATTTTATCTTTGAAAGCATTAATCATGTTTTCCAGTTTCACTACGTCACATCCTTGAGTTTGACTGCGAGGGGAAGAAAAGAGAGAAGCAAAGTAGTTGCAGTAAAATCAGTTCAGAAAAACTGAATGAGCATCCATGTTTT